TCAGAGCCAGGAGGGAATGAAGGAATGGCACATGGCAGTCAGGACAGGGGAGTGCAGAAGAGGGCTTGCAAAGCTGCCTCAGCCTCCTCTGAGCTCCTTCTCCGTCATCTCTGACATCTATCGCAGTTCCTGCCACTTGCCACATCACAAGTCATTGCCATAGTGACACTCTGCATATTGTTGATGGAGACATGCTGCCTTGGTGGCCAGGCAACCCCTTCTCCAAGACCTCCTCCTCCTCCAAAGTTCCTCCTTTCTTCCTCTCTGCCCACAGCTACGGACACAAGGCAAGAGGGTGGGAAATGGGGATCCCAGGCTGCGGATGTGCTACACCACTTCCCCTCCCCAGGCTGCAAACACAAGAGCCAGGATTGCTCCCCATCTCCAGTCCCTGCTTCCTGCCACAGGAGACTGTTCCTGTGGATCCCCAGAGGAGCATGGGGAGGGGGTACCCCTCTCCAAACAGATGGTTCCTGTTCCGTCCCTGCCTTCAGCTGCTTTGCCATTCTCTGGGGACACGATGGCATTTTGCCTGCCTAGCTGTGGTCTCTGAGGTGCTCTGGGAACAGCCTGGCGCTCGGGTGCCTAAGCTGCTGCTAAGGTGGGAGGTGCAGGCTGGAGGGAAGCAAAGGTGAGAACAAGCCCTGCAGGGTACAGCCTGCAGCTCCTCAGTCTTAGGGGGGAAAGAAAAGCCTTTGAGAGTCCTTCTAAAACCGTCTTCAAACCCTGTGGAGCTTTTGTTCTGAAAAGAGCTGAGAGCCCTGGGAGTGCAGGCAGCTGGGCAGCATTGTGCTGCCGGGTGGGACTGGGGTCCTGCTCCGGGCTATCCCAGGTAACCCGTGTCTGTCTCCAACAGAGCATCCCAAACACTGCCCAGTGCCCTCTGCTCCTCAGCTGCCCCACAGACCCACAGGGATGTCTCTCTCACAAAGACGCCTTCACCCCAGGCTGGGACACAGCGTGCTTCCCAGCTCATACCCAGCAGCGGCACCACTGCCCTGTCTCCAGCCACCTCAGCCCCGAGGAATGGACATGCTCGCTCGCCCCTACCTCTCCCACTCCTGTTTGTACGATCTTCAGGCCCAGCTCGTGCTCCAGCTCTGCCTTCACTTGCTCTGTGGATGGGCAGGAGATGGTCAGAGGAGTGCTTCCCCTCCACACAAGAGACCCCTCCCCCAAGACTGAGCCAAGGGACAGCCCTGACAACTGCCCACCTCATACTAGCTCCACAGTTCAGCCAAAGATATTGGAATCTATGGTGAGAGCCCCCCCTTTCCAGTGCCTAGGAAGGGGCACCCCACAACTGAGGGGGGAAGAGAGGAACAGGACCATGGGGACCCCTGCCAAACTCACCAGTCTGGCTGGCCACATCTGCCAACGAGAAGTTCTGGGGGTTCTGTCGGATACGGAAGGTAAGTGCAGGACCCACAACACTGCCAGGGAGAGAGGGGACACAGTGTGAGACTGGGAAGCACAGACTTCATCCCCACCACAGCCCAGTCCACCCTGGCCTCCCACCCCAGGTGGCTGAGCATGGCAAGGGCTGAGACAGCAGCACTCCACGGCCCTGCTCCCCTCACCTGATGTTGATGAAGCTGGTGGTGGAGAGGTGGAGGTGCTTGGCAAGGAGCTCCAGCAACCGCACTCCAGCAGCCAACCCCAGGGGCCTGCAGAGACAGTGTCAGGGTGAGGAGGGGGCAGCAGGGGTGAGAGGACAGTTCACACTCCCCAGGGGCAGGGAACAGGGATGGGCAGGTTCAGTGAGCCTCAAGCATGCAGCAAGAGCTGCACTAGCTGCAGAGATGTCAGGGTGGGCAGGAGCTAAGAGCGTGGGGATGTGTGGAGGTAGGGGTGAGCTGGCCCCCCACCTTGCACAGGAGTGCGCACAGAGGCAGTTGTGCACACACATTCCCAGCCTCCCATCCTGCAACAATGAGCTCTGGTCTTGATATGGGCTGAGAAAGGAAGGTTTTGGCGTGTGACATGAGCTGTGGGTGGAGAGGGGATGGGGGAACTGATCCCACCAGAGACCCAACCCTACCAGAGACTCGCACAGGCTTGGCCAAGCACACGGAGCTATGACAGTTGTTGGTGGGGAGCTACAGACCCTCCACACACACAGACCCCCTTGCCTGACCCCCAGCTCTCACTTCTGATCTGTGATGATGTAGCCATACTCGTCTGGTGGCCGGAGGCCTTGCTGTATCCCACTGTCCTTCGTCCCTGTGTAGCTTTTCTTCGCCACAATCTGCTTCCCAGGGCTGAGTGCATCCCCACCGTGTTTCCGCTGTGGCTCGGCCTGGGGATTTGGTGTGGATGCTGCCCTGCTCTTCAGCCCGTCCTCTGGGGAGCTGCTGGCTGGGATTTTGAAGGGTGGCACTGTGGAGGAAGGGGGCACTGGCTCCTCTCCGTGCTGCATGTCCCCCTCTGACACCTGGAGGGAGGGAAAAGGAGAAGCTAGAACCTTCGAGGAGAGCTCTGGGGAACTGCCTCCTCCCCCCCATCCCACCTGCGGAGTGGCACCGCCTCCAGCACCACCCTGCTGCAAACCCACCCGTTTCGCTGTGGACACTTCAGGGCCAGCAACACCTGGAAAGGAGACAGACAGAGGTCCTGCAGCACCCACCCCAAACGGCAACACTGCCCAGAAACAGGGCATGCTGGCACCCACTGCTGCCAGTCCCTGCCTGCCCCGTCCCTGCGTCCTGCTCACCAGAGCTCTGGAGCAGCTGGAGGAGGGTGGAGAGGCTGCTCAGCTGCTGGGGGCTCAGCTCTGGCAGCCCCAGGCCATAGCTGGCCAGGAGGGAGGCCAGTCTCTTCAGGGCAGCGTCTGCAAGAGGATGTTGCATCAGGCTGGATGCTCTGAATCCACATGGACACCAAAGGCCAGGGATGTAGCAGATGGGGCAGGTGGGGTTGTCGAGGGATACAAAAAGCATAAAAAAGTGCCTCTTTTGGCATAAAGCCAAAGAGGAGGGAGAGTCTGAGCCACGAGGAGGACAGGATAGGGACAAGGGTTGGTGCCTGGCTGGAGAACATGGTACCTGTCTGTGCAGAGGGTGGCTGGGCAGCCAGGGGTGCTGGCTGCTCCCTCTGTTTCTGTAGTCACTGGGGAGCCGCAAGCTGTGCTGGAGCCTGGTGCTGGCAGGGTCTGGGCGGCTAGTTTTCTCTCTGGGCAGCGAAAGCATGCCCAAGTCCTGGAAGAGATGCCCCCCGTCCATTCCTGGCTGCCCACCATACGAGGGCACAGGGCCAGCCCCAAAAAGGGCCTGGGCAGGGACCCGGCCCAGCAGCAAGGAAGTCTCGGAGCTCTGCCTGGCTGAGCTGCTGGAGTGCTGGTGAGCACCATCCTGATAGCCAAACTGCAACCAAAACACATGGTCAAACCCCACAGGGCCCCTGTCACCCCATGGTGGAGGCAGGGGATACCTCAGCACCATCAGGAGGGTGCTGGAATTGTAGCAGCCCCCGCCCCTCTGTAGTTTTTCACTTGGGAGAAGGGGGCTCACCTTGTGGTAGGAGTAGGGGTTGAGCAGAGCCTCCTCATAGCCCATCTGGGATGGAGAGGACAGCAGGAGGTGCTCCAGGTACCGCTGCACCAGTGGGGAAGGCAGTAGTGGTGGGGGCTGCCCCAGATGCTGAGCTGCTGGCAGGCCAGGATCTGGGGGGATTGGAGCTCGCCGGGGCTCACCACGGAGAGGCAGGAACCTCGAAGGCAAGCAGCACTGGGGGGACTCACCTGGGTAAGGGGAAGGACCCTCCCCTAATAAACCCTGTATGGGGGAAGAAGCCCTTGCTGGTCTGCTCTGCTCGCAGGCTGGTGCTGTCCCTACCTGTCCCTGGCTGCTGGCTCCAGAGAGGGCGGCAGGCGGAGCTGGGGGATGCGCTCCATCTCCTGCGAGATCACATACTGGGTGATGCCATCCTGCCACGAGAGCCCTGCCATGGGAGGGGACTGTGAGACAGAGAGGAGGCCTGGGGACCATAGCATGAGTGCATGGGAGGTTGGCCTGATGTCCTGACCCTGTGTCCCATGGCCTGGGTTTGGCCCCACTCCTCCCAGGATTACCCTCCTCAGCCCATCCTGGCCCCTGGCCAGTAGGACCTCGGACAGCCCAAGTGCCACTAGGCAATGCTGCCTGAAACCCCCTTCCCGCAGAACCCCAGTGGCTCCCCCAATGTTCCTCACTTCACCTTGTGCCATGAGATGCCGCAAGACATCCTGCAGACGCTGGAGCACAGGAGAGGTGACCTGGAAGTAGGGCCTGTCCTGCATGGAGCCCACCTGGCACTGCCCAAACAGCCCATCTGCAAGAGAGGGGAAGCAGTGTGGCCAGATGGCCAAACACCTTGGGGTGAGGGTCTCCAGGCACAGCCCCACCTTTGTCCTGCCATGGCCCCATCCCACAGGCTCCCCTGCAAGGCATCCCTGTACCCTCCAGACCCCCTTGAGAAGAGAGAGGGGGTCCCCGC